AAGATGGAGTAAACTTCCACTGCAGTTGTTACAGAAACTAAACACTAAAACACTGCAATTGTGATCTGTAATGAAGCCACTACTGAGGGTCCAAATACATTTTTGTCTAATTATGACCAGTATATCTATTTTTATTTTTTAAAACATAATCTATTTTTGGGGAAATGTTTTGTGCTTCCTCCAAAATAAATGCCACTTGGTTTAACATGTTGTTTTCAAATGCAGTGAAATTCATCCATTTGTTCGTGTGGCTTAATTTTCCAAATACTTATTAGTGTTCATGTAGAACGGAGGAAAACAGCCCTATTAAAGCACAGCACTTCTTCTCTTTAAAGGTTTTAGATACAGAGACAGCAGAACAGCATGTCCACTGCGGCTGAAGAACACACAGTGTGGATCGGGTTCATGGACATCGTTCCTGTCATCGGGACGGTAAAAGAGGCAGTGGAGCTGGTGTTGGCTCTGTACGAAGGGAATAAAGCGGTGATAAAGGAGAAAGAGAAGGCCGTTGAATACATTGTGAAAGAGTCATTAAAAAAACATGTGAAGGCAAAACGTGAAAGTGAGTCATATTTAAATATCATATATCCAAAGATTGACAGATAGTACAGCAAATTCTCCTAATATAAAAAAAAAGCCAGCAGTTAAAAACTTTGATATGAACTGATCTTCAAAATCACATAAAATCCTAGTAGACTCCTGTTATTGTCAGAGTTCAGCTGGATATATTTTTAAAAAATTATTTATGATTTGATGTTGTTCTCCTGCATGAACCATCATGTACGACTCCTGTACTCTCTACTCTGTCATTTTCCAGTTTTGATTTTAAGGATGTAATCGTCTCTTATGAGGCTCAGAGTTCCTGAAGTGGATTATTTTTCTACAGCAGCATGGTCCATCATGTGTTATTCTTTACATAATGTATGAATATGGTATAATTATTGCATGTCACAGTGCACCATAATGCCAGTCAATGGTAACAGTTTTTATTGAAATTTATCTTTCCATATTTAGAAGTTGACTCTATCTGATAAACCAGCAGCAGCTGCAGCTGAATTTTCTGGACTCAGAAATGTGACAGGTGCGTGTTATTTCTGCTCTTCTCACTGTTCTAAATTTAAATTAAATATATAGTTCAGTCATGAAACTCTAGATGGCGCAGGCTGACGGGTTGTTAATGTAACTGATGATATTCAGAGAGTTAAACGACTTGGCACAAGCTGATTGGTTCATGCTGCATATGCAGCCAATGAGCTTATTGCCTTGCATTTATATAGCTGGCTAGCATTCACTTGCGATTCTCTGAAACCTTCCACCTTCCCCAGCTCCACCTGTATAGATCTGCTATGGGTTATTTTATATGCTATTTGTGCAGCAGCAGTATGTCTTAAATACTCACGGCACTGTATCGCTGTATGCATTGGCAGTAGCAAGTTCCTGTACTTGCTTGCAGCAGCAGCAATAATCTACAACTACAGCAATAACCAACAGCAGCAGCAATTCAGCAGCAGCGTTGCAGATCTATTCCGCCAAGACCAAATACATTAACATTGTCATATCCATCACCATGATAAATCTTTCGAGAGTTGTCATGATTGAAATACATTTAATTTAGAGTTAAATCATAGCAAGGAATTTTTTTTTTCTTTTCTCCACAGAGGTCAGAAAGGAAATGATTATTGAACATATGGTCAAAGGTTCCAAAAGGGGAACAAAAACTCCAACTCCAGCTCAGCAGAAAGAGAGACAGAAAAAAGTGGAGGATATTAAGAAAGACATGTTAGAAAAGATCCTTATCATCAATCCAAACTTCAATCACGAGCTGAAGGAAGAACTGGGAAGGCCAAAAAGAGGGGAACATGTCTTCAACAATGGCATTCTTAGATTTCATTTCAATGTGCTGACTGATTTTATACAAAGCCATCGTATTTCTAATCTACGAGGATATAATCAGCAGGCAATGGATACATTAGGCAGACACACACTTCCTCAAAACACAGAAACAGATATTCAGACAAACATGGTGGTTCACTTTGGTGAGGATGAATTCTACGTGAATGCGAATAGAGTGATGTATGGTGAATATTGCAGAGCACTGCGTGGTGCTTTGATAGATGTGCTACGCCGCATAAACCCAGGTGATGTGACAGAAGAGGAGAGACAAAAGGTGAATTTTGTCATAGATAATATGAATAATCTTGAAATCTATGTGGACCAACTGGCAAAGGTCAGGTGGATAGACAGACAAAGTAGACAGGCCCGGTTTGAACAGGTAAGACAGGAAGTTGCGAATATGTACAACACAGCTCGTGGGTTTGACTGGTGCATTCGCATTCTGCATGAAGTTGCACCTTTGTTTGAACATGGACAGTGAGTTTATTTCTCCTGTTCAGGGTTGCCAGGTTTCCTTTCAAAATTTCCAGCTCAACTACATCCTAAATCCCATAGACCTGAAACTAGCTCAAAAAGTTTGGACACCTGAAGAAACCATAGACTGTAAAAAAAGATGGACGACGCGTCTCCTATTCCTTCCATTGTAGAAAAGTGAAGCCAAAACATCTGAGTATGGCTGCTGCCATCTTGAGTAAATGATGTCATTAGGAGCCAGAGTCTGTGCAGTAGTGTCGTGAGGTGGAGCCGCGGAATCAAACTCCCGCAGACCCAATCAACCATAACGACATGCCCTGTTTTTATAGCATCAACTTACTAGCTAAAATCAAACTTATCACAAAAACAAACAATTGAACATATATCACCGCGATATCAACTACCTTAAATGACCAAAACCATCTTTCGGAAAATTATATTGGAAGTGTAATTAATTTTTTTATTTTGACTCAAGTCCCCATTCGTTTACATGGAGAGGGCGGGGTTTCTGACCTGTACTGCAGCCAGCCACCAGGGGGCGATCAAAGAGCCCGCAGCTTCACTTTTCAGGACGTGTGAGGCACACCGGTTGCCAGGTTTCCTTTCAAAATTTCCAGCTCAACTACATCCTAAATCCCATAGACCTGAAACTAGCTCAAAAAGTTTGGACACCTGAAGAAACCATAGACTGTAAAAAAAGATGGACGACGCGTCTCCTATTCCTTCCATTGTAGAAAAGTGAAGCCAAAACATCTGAGTATGGCTGCTGCCATCTTGAGTAAATGATGTCATTAGGAGCCAGAGTCTGTGCAGTAGTGTCGTGAGGTGGAGCCGCGGAATCAAACTCCCGCAGACCCAATCAACCATAATGACATGCCCTGTTTTTATAGCATCAACTTACTAGGTAAATTTCTGACCTGTACTGCAGCCAGCCACCAGGGGGCGATCAAAGAGCCCGCAGCTTCACTTTTCAGGACGTGTGAGGCACACCCGGAAGTAACACACACCAGTTTTTTTCTTTCCAAACAAAAGTTCACTGTGGTGTGCACACATTTGTATATTTGCAATATTTCCAACACACTTAGGGTTAGAGTTTTGTCATCCATTGCCTGTTATGACTGTTATCCTCTCCATAATCCTGTTTTTCCTCTCCCAACCTGTGCAGAAATGGCTCTGTACATTTTCCATACATTACACTTTCCCTTTGTTTGCCATAGCCAGTGGTTTTCTGGGAAATCTGTTAGCTTTAGCTGATGATTTGCTTTAAAACAAGATCTTGGCTTTCTTTTTATTTTTACTTTCCCACACTCCTAAAAAACACCACCCATGGACTTGCTTTTTCTACCACAACCTTGTTCCAAAACTGAAAAATCTGACTTTGGCAACCCTGCTCCTCAAAATGATTTATTTTACTCCAACATATTTCCAACACAAAGATGATTGCACTCAGCTACATGTCTGTAACTAAAATTTAAAGCCGAGCCTCATAACAAGTTGAAGTTTAGTTCTTATTAAAATGACTGTGTGTAAATGTGAAGCAGAACGGGGATTTTGGAGGCATCTCAATTCCTCCATCTCCTTTTATTCCCTTCATCGTCGTTGTTACAACCACCTGATCAGGAGGATTCACGATCATGTGCAGAGACTTTAGGGCTCTGTAGTATTGCTCAAAAATAAAATAAAAACAAATGTAATTTAACAGAACAGGAGGATTAATGATTATCCAGCCATCAGGGCTTTAAATGCAGCACTTATTGTCTAAAGACTCTAAATATGATTGAGCTTTGTTGAGAAAAACCACATGTTTGGATATTTGGAGTTTATATTACAGATGTATACATTATTATTCGACTTTATAGCACAGCTTATAGCTTATTACACAGACATCCTCGCTGGTATTGTAAACGTTTTTCAATTTTCAGATGATTCATGCTGATGAATGAATTATGATATTTTACCATTTACTCTAATTATCTGATTACGGTTACTAACTCATTTTGTTTGTCTCATTGTGATCTGTTATATCGAATTGTTTCTAATGCAAAATTCCTGGAAAGCATGCTGAGCTGCATTTACATGTATGGAACAAGTTCCATGGAAATATGATTAAAATAAAATAAAGTGATTACTAACAGTCTACAGTGCCTTTAATTACTATTATTATTATTATTATTATTATTGTCACAAATGTAACTCTACAACCGCTGAGCATCTTAATTAACATCCACAACCCACAAACACAACATGAGCCACACAATGAGGGCAAATCCAGGGGGCGGAGCTGTCTCACATGTAAAAGAGAAGGCAGTGGATGTAAAGGTTCAGTAATTAAGCTACTAAAGAGTAAATTACAAGCTCTTATTGCTGAAGTGCTCTGTGGTAATAGGCTACACCGGGGTAATTGGTGGAGCAGGTGGTTTATTAGTAAGCTGGGGAGGTGGAGTGCTGGAAGTAGAACTGGACTGGAATGGTAAGTGATATGTTCGTAGGAACGACTTCTGATTTGGCATGCACTCACTTCCTAAGCAACACATACATCTTAAACAGAAATGCAGAAATCAGGGTGTATTACAACAAATTAGATTAGATTAATAAACTTTTAAGATAATTATCGGATTAAAAACAGCCCAGACTTCAGTAGTGTATGACAGTTTTGTGCCTGCATGGAAAGACTTCGATACACCATCAGTTTTTTTTTTTATTATTTGCTCCTTTCAGCCAACGCATCATTAAGGTGCATTTGATGCATCATAAATGGCTAGGTGTAAAAAAAAAAAATAGCATGTTATATACAGTGGTGCTTGAAAGTTTGTGACCCCTTTAGAATTATAACAATTGTTTATTATAACATTATACGGAACATTTTCTTTTAATAACGACAGCGAAATAACATTTAAAGAATGACAAACGTTTCATGATGTCAGTAACATACACTATATGGACAAAAGTATTGGGACACCTGACCATTACACTCATATGTGCTTGTTGAACATCACATTCCAGATTTAGTCCTCCTTTGTTGTTATAATAAGCTCCACTCTTCTGGGAAGGCTTTCTACTAGACTCTGGAGCGTGGCTGTGGGGATTTGTGTTCATTCAGCTACAAAAGCATTAGTGAGATCAGGCACTGATGTTGGGATGTCGAGGAGGTCTAGGGTGCAGTCGGTGTTCCAGTTCATCCCAAAGGTGTTCAGTGGAGTTGAGGTCAGGGCTCTGTGCAGGACACTCGAGTTCTTTCACTCCAACCTTCACACACCATGTCTTCATGGAGCTCGCTTTATGCACAGGGGCATTGTCATGCTGGAACAGGTTTGGGCTATGCCCCATAGTTCTGGTGGTGAGTTATTAAGTCTCCTATAGAACAAAATATGTATTTTCCTTTTAATACACGTGCAAAAAAATGCCACAAGTAGATGTTTTTCACACCTATTGTATATTACAAGTACAAGGAATACATTGTGTCATGAGGCACTTTTGATGCGTCATAAATGGCTGGGCATAAAACATGTCTAATCTATGTTAATCATGTCTCAATGTGACATGAATAAAACATTTTAAGTAGACATTAATCACATCTGAAAGTGACGTGCAAAAAAAATGTGCTTTGAGAACAAATACATACAGTATGTTACAGAATCAAATAAAGTAGTTACAGCTGCAAGTAAAGTACTGTATTTTTAAAAGTCAGTTTATTAATAGGGTTTTTTAAAACTTGAGTATCAGCTTAGGAATGCATGACATGACCTCGATGGGTTTTTTTTTTTTTTTTTAATGTAGTCAAGAATCTGGTTTTCCTGGCTGTTTTCACTTGAATTCCTTACTAGAAGATAACGTTGCAATAATTTTTAAATGATACTGACTTGTCTGTGCTCGGAGTGTGCAACATGTTGAGCGTGCAGACAAAATGAGAATTCTTCCCAGGTCAACTTGTATGAACTTGTATGTCATGTTGGCCAGCATATACAGTGGGTACGGAAAGTATTCAGACCCCCTTCAATTTTTCACTCTTTGTTATATTGCAGCCATTTGTCACAGCAAAGGGTCTGAATACTTAGGACCATGTGATATTTCAGTTTTTCTTTTTTAATAAATCTGCAAAAATGTCAGCAATTCTGTGTTTTTCTGTCAATATGGGGTGCTGTGTGTACATTAATGAGGAAAAAAAATTAACTTAAATGATTTTAGCAAATGGCTGCAATATAACAAAGAGTGAAAAATTTAAGGGGGTCTGAATACTTTCCGTACCCACTGTATCTATTTAATATTTATTAATATTATTTTTGTTTATTTTGACATATTTATAATAACAAATGTATAATATTTATAACTGAGTCTTTTGTCAGTCTTTCGTTCTTATTTTCAGTTATACAGATGTTAACATCTCATTTTACTATTATTATTATTCAATTATCACATAGGCTTGTATTCAGAAATTTGGCCAGCACAAGCATTCTACTGTTTGTTGCAACCAAACCTGAAACTACATCCTGTCAGTAGCTGTATGTAAAGATATAAAGGAAGTGCTGCTCATTCCAGACCTCAAAGCAGGATTGACTGAGTGACTGACTGCACTGCTCAGGAAGCTCCACATTCAGCAAAGTACAGCAGGTAAGATCAATTTATTCTTGAGACAATGGAAAATGCAGATTCGTACTGTATTACATGAAATAACATGACTATCTTCTCCATAAAATGAATAGTTTTGAATAGTTAAAATGAAAAGCTCTGTTTGCCTTGCAGTACTTTTATGATCATGCCTGGTGTGTGTGTGTGTGTGTGTGTGTGTGTGCGTGCTAATATTTTGAAAGGCTACTGGGAGTCACATTCAGTCAAGCCACATTTAAATTAATAAGGTCCTAAATTAAAATCTAAAATAAAAATAATAAATAAATAAAAAGCCTGACATGCTGCACTAGTGTAGTTCAGTAAAAATAAAACAAACAAAAAAATCTCCATCCATCTACCTCCACTAAACAAACTAACGCTGTGTCTCAAACAGCATACTTATGTATTATTCTAGACCAGTGGTTCTCAACCCGCGGCC